GTGTGTGTGTGTCTGTCTGTGCGTGTGTGTGCGCGTGTGTTTGTGTGTGTGTGTGTGTGTGTTTGTGTGTGTGTGTGTGCGCGCGCGCTCATGCGTGCGTTCTGTTCTGCCCCAATCCCCCTCCCCCCACACCGTATCTGCTGAAGGTCCCAGTCCCACTCTAGGCTGCTAGCTGGATTGTTAGCTGCCATATAAAAAATGTATGAAGCTGTAGAGTGAGCCCTGCTTGTTGGTGCTCCCGCTCCCCGCTTTGCTGAGCGGCCTCTGACACCTACAGCCTGTATGCTGCTCGCCGCTTATCCGACTCAGTTCCACATGTTTCAGATAAAAATGTTTGTTTGTTTACTTGCTTTCCTCCTCACCTCTTGCTTTTTGAGGCTCTTCCTGCTGTAAGAAGTGTGTCAGCTTTCTTACTGAGTCCACTCCCTCTCTGCATCTTCCGCTATGCGCATCATTCTCGTCTGCACCGTCCCCTCCACATCATCATCTCCATACTTCGTTCATTGCTGAAATTGTCCATTTGCACTCTGTATTGTGCAGCTCTCCAAAGTTCATAGTGTATCATCCTCTGTTCCTCCAGCATCATATCCTGAATTCACATGTTTACTTAATGCATCTTCAGTCCACTAACTCCATGCAGCATATCCCAAAGATTGCAAGATCACTTGATGCATGGTCAGTCCACCTATTCCATGTGGCATCTCAGATTCCTAGCCTGATTCACACATGATCTGTCAACCTGTTTAGTGCAGCATCGCATGCCAAATTGCATGCCCACTTGACAGACAGTCCACCTCCATGCGACTTCATATCCAGAATTCGCCTGCTCACTTGATATGTCTTCAGTTCACCTGCTCCATGCAGCTACAAATCTCAGACTCAGATGTCTGCTTTATGCATGGTCAACCTTCTTCATCTGTTATTATATCCCAAATTCACATGCCTGCTTGACTAGTTTGGCATCATGTCCCAAATTTGCGTGCTTATTTGACAAATGGCCAATTCACCTACTCCATACACAACATATTTCAAATTGCATGCCCACTTGACACATCAGTCTACATGCTTCATGTAACATCATATTATGAATTTGCGTGCCCACATGACAAATGATCAGTCCACCTACCTCATGCATCATCAATTCCAAACTGCATATCCACTTAAGACATCTTACGTCACCTGCTCCACGCATCCCAAATTTGAATGCGTGCTTGATGCATGGTCAGTCCAACTACTCCATGCGACATCAAATCCCTAATTGCATTACCATTTAGCAAATGGTCAGTCCTCCCTCTCCATGTGACATCGCATCCCAAATTCACATGCTCACTTAACAAAAAGTCAGCCCTCGAAAATGCCAAATTTTCATGCCTGCTTGATACATGGTCAGTTCACCTGCTCCAAGCAACAACAGATCTTGTACTGCATGCCCACTTGATGCATGGTCAGTCTACCTGCTCCATGTGCCGTCATATCCCAAATTCGTATGCCTGTTTCATGCATAGTTAGTTCACCTTCTGCATGCAGCGTCACATTCTGAATCACATGCCTACATCATCATTGCTGCATACAGCTTTTCACCTGCTCCATTGTGCTCTGTGTATTCTCTGGTCTACACTGTTTGTTTAATGGTGAGTCACATCCTGGGCTCTCATTCCACCTGCAACAGAAGTGATTCCATACTGTGACTAAATGTGTTCATGTTGCTGGGAATGGTGGCTGATTTTCAGAGGTGAGGGCAGGTGTGAGGTTCTGGACATAAAAGGCTGTGCCTCATACGCTCACACACACCTCCGGGTAGTGTAAGTGAACACCTTGCCTCTTCAGGTGACTCTTTTTAGCTGTCACCTGTAGTGGTATCGGACATCCAGATGTATTTGTGCAGTATTTGTGTTTTTACCATGAAGCTGGTTCTTTTTGTGTGCATGATCAGATGACCCACATCTCACACACATGTGCTCGCAGACAGAAAACGTGGCTTGTTTGCTCTAGCGGTATGTGATCTGGGCCCTTTGGGTAGCTCATACATGCCACCCGAGGCCTGCATAAATCTGCGTACAACCCCTTGGTCCAGTGTCTGGACTGTATAATTTATGGGAGGCACTGAAATGTCTGCCCTCCTTCCTTCCTCCCTCCCTGGGCTTCCTTTCCTGTCCAGCAGTAACATGTAGGACTCCCATAGTCATGCATTTAAAGCTATTCATGCCCGCAGCCTTTGCTGGAATAACAAAATCCCAGCCCTCAGATGAGAGGGAAGAAATGCGTTTGGCCTCCTGGCTCTGAGTAATTGATTGCTCAGTAGGTAATCATACCTGTGATGGCTTCTCTGAGTGCCAAGGAGTATGTCCAGGAAGAGAAGGGCTCTTTCTGACAACTACATGTTACGTTCTGCAGCAAGGAGGAGTCTGATGGAAAATTCATTTTGGTTACGTTTGCTTAGCACAGAAAGAAAACATCAGCTCTCATGCAGATGAGTCAACCCCCAATGTGTGTATGGATCACATGTTGTCCATCAGTCAAAGTGTTAGGGAGCGTGTTGATGGCTGAGGCAGTCCTTTCCAGCTGCCAGCCCATTCACTGCTGCAGTTGATTTTTATGTTGTTTTATTGCCCAGTCAGAGAAAAAAAAATCTGGAACTTGTTTGGTTTTTTTTCCATAAAGAAGCTGCAGCTTGTGTGTGTGTCTGTGTGTGCGCGTGTGTGTCCATGTGTGTGCGTGCGTGCCTGAGCATGTGTGTGCATGTCTGCGACCGTGTGTGTCTCTGCCTGGATGCGCTCACACGTCTCCTACCTTCAGCCCTGGAGAAGAAGGGCTTGAGTTTATTTTGCACAACAAGCCCTCACATTGTGAAGGTGTCTCCCAGTCCTCATTAATCTGCTAATAAGGGCTGCAGAAGAACTGCAGAGGAAAAAAAAAGATTTTAAATTTTAATAACACTGGTACGATTTTGTAAATCTTTCCTGACAGAAAAGTCCTCATTATTTTTATCTGTCTCAGAGGAATTTTTTTCCACCACCTCCCCTGTTAAACGCACTTTCTCTGGCTGCTTTTTTGCCTTCTCTCTGCTCTTTTATCCGTGTTCAGCAGGTTTACAGTCACTCTCCCTTTCCCACATGCACTTGCCTCTGCACACGTGTACAGGCATGCAGTCATAAACCTGCAGGCCTACTTTCAGAAGCACGCTGAACACCCCCCATGGCAGCGATCGGTCACGTGCCCCTGCTTCTCTAATGTATGTCACTCTGTGTGCATGTGAGTGTGCTTGTGATTCGCTGAGTCTCCATCCCCCTCCAACAAGATGTGGACTTGGGAATATGAACCACAGCTTGTGATTTGGTGGTTGTTTCCACTTTTAATTCACTTATATGATCCAAAAATTATCCTAACTCGGTGTCCCCATGGTGTGGTAGTTATGAATTATACCAGCATTGAGGCTGATCCCTGGGGTTAGTTTATACCCTCCGTCCTTCACTGTACCTTTTGTAAGGGCTGGACATGTATTCTGGTTGAAAGTCCTTTAGCATTAGCGTAGTATCACGTTGGGTAGGCCTGATCCATCTGTGACATACATCGCATTGGGTAGGCCTGCTCCATCTGCGACAGGCATTGCGTTGGATAGGTCTGCTTCGTCTGCGACATGCATTGCGTTGGATAGGCCTGCTCCTTCTGCGACAGGCATCAGGTTGAGTAGGCCTGCTCCGTCTGCAACACGCTTCACGTTGGATATGTCTGCTCCATCTACAACAAGCATCACGTTGAGTAGGCCTGCTCTGTGACATGCATCACCTTGTAGAGTTTGTGTATATATATATATATATATATATAAAATACACTTACTCTATAAAATCTATTAAATATAAATAATAAATATAAAAAGTAAAATGACTGTACCATGGTATGAAAATGCACATTCGTAGTTTATGGGGGGGTTGGCATGGTGGGAGCACAGAGACAGCCTCATGCATAAAGGTCAATTTCACTCCATGATGTGTTGTTTAGCTTGTTGTAGAGCCTGTTGTAGGGCTGTTTGGCTTGGGGGACAAAGGACTTCCTCAGTCTGCCAGTGAAGCAGGACAGTGACTGTAGTTTGCCACTAAACAGACTCCTCTGCCTGAAGAATGTGCTGTGCAGGGGGTGACAGTCATTCTCCATGATGGTCAGAAGTTTGTTAAGCACCCCCTGCATGCTCTGTGCTGCCTGGGATGGGCGTCTGGGTTGTGTTTCTGCTTTAACACCAACACTATCCTAAGTTACAGGTGGATGAAGAGTAAACAGTACAACATCTGAGGTATTAAAGTGTCAGTGGAAAGCATGTTTTTCAGAGCTAAGCTTTCTGTTAGTGTGTAGGTAGATCTGAATAAGTGTGTGCGCTCATCCACCAGTCTGAGACCCATGATGCTGGGGTACACAAGGCTGAGGGAGGTGATTTTCAAGTCATACTGAGTAGAATGGAATGATGTCACAAAAAGGTCAGAAGGTCCTGAGTGGATGATCTGAGCTTGAGAGCTGGATTTATCAGATGCTCAGCCTGAGCCTGCAGTAAAAAGTGCTGCGCTAGAATTTTCTCATTTCAAGTCTCTTATTTATAGCTGTACCTTGTATTTTTTGGTGTAGGTAAACAGACACACAGTAAGAAGGTTTGTGTGTTGAGGTTACACTCTACATCAAGCAATATTCATAACTGATATTACTCAGGGCTAAAAACACATCCACGGCTAAGACACCACATTCAGGAGGCATCAGCGGGAACACAACAGGGAACCCTTCAGCCTTGGTTCTTGCTTTACACCACTCCCTCATGATCGAGATACGTGGTCCAGACCTCGGCCTCATGGTTGCAACACGTCCAGACCTTATGCTCTCAACCTTATGGTCACGACATATGCCCCAGACCTTGGCCTCACAGTTGCAACACATGGCCCAGACCTCGACCTCATGGTCACAACACGTGGTCCAGACCTCAGCCTCATTGTCACATCTCTTCTCTGTCTTTTCCACAGGGTCATTCAGAACCGTATCCTGATCTTCGTCTTGGGGGCCGTCATTCTTCTCACCATTGTTTTGGCTGTGTATTTCAACTTCAGAGGGCAGTGACTGTCCCCAACCCCCATCCTCTCCCATATGATTGATGGAGACAGAAGTATTGGCGGGACTAATTAGGACAAAGCGGTCACATGAATCATGTCCCCATCCCCCCAAGCACATGTTCGGTCTGGGCTGAAGGTGCAGAGGTCACCATCCCAGGCCTTTTATTCCCGGCTGTTCATCTTATTGTTCACGTCTTTGCATGGAAGCTCCCTATAGCCCTAATTCAGAAGAATTACCTCTTTACTATGGCACATTGGCTATCTGTACATTATTATGCTTGTTTGATGTGGGGGGTGGGGGTGATTGTGGAATATGGGGGTTTACTGTTTTTATGTGCTAACTCTGTCCTGCTTCACTTTGTTGTGTCTCAGTTTTTGTGAATTTTGTGAATTTTCTTACAATGTTTGCGTGAGGAGAGAGACAGATAAAGCTTTGGTCCGAGTTTGGGTCCTGCCCTCCCGGGGCCATGTGCGGCAGCAGAGGGCTGTGTAGGGTCACGTCACCTCTGAAGGTGGGTGCTGGTGGCCCTGAGTGTAGTCTGAAGTGACAGCAAGCGCACAACCCTGCCCTGCACGCTGAGCACGCTGGTGCATCTGCGGCTGCCTCTGGCCCAGCGAGCAGGACAGCTTGGGGCAGGTTCCCCCACAGAGGCGCCTGGCTGCCCTCACACCACACCAGCCTCGGTTTTGTGTGTTTCTGCTCCCGCACTTCTATCTTCAGGTGTCACTAATAAGTCAAAATGTTGCTTGTCGTTTTGATGAGTAGGTTGCAGAAAAACTTCAAATAAAATGATTGAAACTATAAACCCTAAGAGATCTCCTTTCAATCACCCAAAAGCTGGAATATCGTGGGCGGCTGATGATGATAAGCTTGCTGGCATAACTGCGAGAGAAAACTGCGAGAGCAGGCAGCACAGAGCAGCAAAACACACCCTTCGGTGTAGGCTGGGGGTGCCCTCGCCTCCGGGGGGCGCCCAGGGAGCCTCGCAAGAGCAGAGCCACCGTCTGCGGACACTCGGGGACGCGCTTCAGCGGAGGACGCTGTAATATCGGGGCCCAGCGGCGCCACGGCGACCAGCTCCATTTGGTATTCTGTTTAAGGGCAAGAGGAGCGGCTGGTTTTGGAAGCTGCCTGGCGGGGGGCTGCCGGTGCTGCTGGTGCTGCTGCTTCACAGTGGCCGCCTTCAAAGGGCCAAATTAATGGGCAACAAAATTGTGCAGCTCTGTCCGTCCCATGTGGGGCTAACCCGTCGAGAGTTATCATTAAGATGAGGAATAATGAAGAAGGGAAGAAGAAGCAGGAGGAGGAGAAGAAGGGAAAGAGAGCCCAAGCGGTTTGACAAACCTCATCAGATAATGACCCGAGCGACTGCTCTCTGCAGACGGCACAGGGAATGATGGGCTGCTTCTGCCTGTATCTCTGCATCTGTGTCTTCCTGTCATGTCTGTGTGCTTCTCACTGCCTGTCGGTGTGAGGCTGTGGTTGCATTTGTCTGTGTGTTTGTGTGTGTGTCTGTGTATGTCTGTGTTTGTGTGTGTGTCTGTGTATGTCTGTGTGTGTATGTCTGTGTTTGTGTCTGGTATGCGTGTGCATGTGTGTGTATGTATGTGTTTGTGTGTCTGTTTTTGTATTTCTACGTGTCTGGTGTGTGTGTTTATGTGTTTGTGTGTGTGTGTGTGTGTCTGTGTTTGTATTTCTGTGTGTCTGGTGTGTGTCTGTTTCTGTATGTGTGTGTCTGTGTTTGTGTGTGTCTGTGTTTGTGTGTGTCTGTGTTTGTATTTCTGTGTGTCTGGTGTGTGTCTGTTTCTGTATGTGTGTGACTGCATTTGTGTGTGTGTGTGTGTGTGTGTATCTGTTTCTGTGTGTGTGTGTTTCTGTTTCTGTACTATAGTTTTTTCTCCCAACCTGTCAGATGGTTTCATTCCTGCAGTCTCAGAAAGGCTGCATGGCTGCTTTGTATTTGAAGTTGTAATGGTGTCAGAAAGTCACGGCTGACTGACAGACGTCAGTCCCAGAGGGCCTCATTAAAAAATAAAAACTTGACAAGGGAATAATTGAGCATCGCCGACAACTCGTGCCCATTTAGATGTTTATATTTTCTTTCATTATTAGTCCTGGCTATTATGTTCATTAAGATATTGCATTTAAAAAAACAGCGTGGGGGGGTAATGATTTGTTTATATTCCTTTTTATTATTTAAACATTAGCCATGTCGCACGGTAGCTTGGGGGCCTCCTGCTATCATCTGCTAGGAGTCTGTCTCCCTCCCTTCCAGAATAAGGAATAGATTATTCATTACCCTCCTCCCTGCCACTGATTTGGTTTCATGTAGTGTCTTCCACGGAGGAAGATGAAAACTTGTCAAAAATAGGTTATATCTTATTCCGAGGGGCCACAATAGCAGCAGGTACAGTCACACTTTAATATTTAATTAAGCTTGATGTTGTAACCCCTAAAAGTGACTTCGACTGCCAGCGCTGCACGCCCACGCCAGGCGCATGCCCACGCCCATAATGGGCAGCCTGGATCAGGAGCGGGGCTATGACAATGAGGACGTCGCAAGAAGTGTTACCTTCATTTTCTGACTGATGGGTTTTGGATCAGAACTGCAGGTAGATTTTCCTGGGCAAAAGAGGCTTGTTGAGCTTCTCAAAGAGCAAGAGCAAGCTCCTGGTAGACATGGGCACAGCTTGGGCAGTGGACGGCAGCTCTGCCACCACTGGGGCACTGCGACCTCCACGTACTGGGCTTGTCTGCTGTACATCAGATAGTCAATACAGTGTAGTCCCTGCCTCTCTCTGTCATCTGACTGGTGCAATGGCTGGCCTCTCATAGCATCACATTACTTTTCTTCATGGTGATTGGCTGACACTGAAATAGCTGAAAACACAACTTTGCAGTAATGCGGGGACCATCACAAGTGCACCCAGAGCTCACATAAGGAGGCCGCTGGCTGAGGTGGAGCAGCTCACTTAGAGTTCACACAAGGAGGCTGCTGGCTGAGGTGGAGCAGCACACCCAGGGCTCACACAAGGAGGCTGCTGGCTGAGGTGGAGCAGCACACCCAGAGCTCACATAAGGAGGCCACTGGCTGAGGGGGAACAGCTCACTTAGAGGTCACACAAGGAGGCTGCTGGCTGAGGTGAAGCAGCACTCCCAGAGCTCGCACAAGGAGGCCGCTGGCTGAGGTGGAGCAGCGCACCCAGAGCTCACACAAGGAGGCCGCTGGCTGAGGGGGAGCAGTTCACTTAGAGCTCAGAAATGGAGGCTGCTGGCTGAGGAGGAGCAGCACACCCAGAGCTCGCACAAGGAGGCCGCTGGCTGAGGTGGAGCAGCGCACCCAGAGCTCACACAAGGAGGCTGCTGG